AGCTTTTCTGTCCTCGGGTTCAACGTATATCTGCAGGGGAGTATATATTATATGGTGGTTGATCAAAATTCCTTCTTGCTGGAAGTGGCATAGGCCTTATGTCGACCTTTCGATCGACTACCATATATAATCAGGAAATGGGAGAAATAGGATGACTTTTACTTGACCCTTCCGCCTTGAGGAAGTGAATGAAGGTGCGAACGGATGAACACCATCCGTTCGCATCCCCCGACTCCACGACGATTCCTGTGCTTTGTCCAAGCACAAAGCCAAACACATCCTGATCAATCAAAGCCCCTTTGACCATCCCTATATGGATCCACTGGCACTTCTCAGAAAGCAATTGGACCCTCAATGCCTGCATAAATAGTCTCCAATTACTGTACCTGAGGTTCGGTAGGTGGATCCATAGGGCCTGTCAGAATTGTTCTTCCTCTATTCAATCACACCACCAAAATGACCCACAAGGCTTGGGTCATTCTTTCACGGCTCTCTTCGGCTCCAAACCCACCTCATCCAACTTCGTGGCGTTTTCGACGTGCACGACCTGCGACAAAAGTGGGATCTTCCGTACCCACAGTCGCAAAACTACATGGGGACGCTATGGAAGTGGGTGAGTCACATGTCGTTCTACTGCCTCTTTTGGAGGCTGTGACTTGATCCATTTCTTTCAATCAGTTCAAACATTGGCATCAAACCAGTATTCAGGACGCTTCACACAGGTCGCAGCTTGCGGACGACCAGGTCGCCTGAACCTCCGAACCGACCAGACAGTGGCTGCTTCAGTGGAGTTTGCGAACCACTTCAACGTCGTTGGCGAAAGCTCGGAGTCTGCGAAAGCTAGTCATGGAGTCTGCAAGTGAAAAGTCTATAGTTGAGTTGTTTGCCCATGTTTGCCCTACAAGATTTCTCCACCTCACCACAATAAGTTATAGTTATATAAGTTATATATATATATCATATATCATGTCCGTTTAAGGAAAATGCGAGCAACAATGAGCAACATACAAAGCCTGCAATTTTGGATCTGCGGATTCCGCCCAACCAGTCACTAGACACAGTTTTGGCCTTTATGGCCAAATGAAAAGCAACTTCGTAGACTCCGAAAACCATCATCCTGAAGTGAGTCGAAAGATAACTAGTAGCATGAGATGGTGTAGTTAGCTCGATCCATGATCTTCAACCAATCACTGATAGAATGATCAAGGCTAGAACATGAAAACGACTGTAGGACTTCGTAGTTGGTCTTCGGGAAAGGAACATCGGAAGCGATACTACTGTGGACATCGTGGAGGTTGGTTCTCAAGAAAATGGGCCGGTCCGTGGACCATCTCAGACTCGAAATGCAAAATCTCTGCTGAATGGCAGGTCCGTGGCCCCACGGATCGTCAGTGACTCAAAACGTGCTGACTGTTGGGGTACCGAGCGAAGGGAGGGCCACATTGACAAAGAACACATGCACTGAAGAAACTCGTCCACTGCCTTTGGGGGATCTTTCCGAAGAGCTCTGTCAGATCTGTTAGAAGGATCTCTTCAGAAAGTGATGTGCCAAATTTCTCGCCGATACAGTTCGGGTCTTGAAGTTTGCACGAACGCAGCACAAAACAAACAACATAGACTCTGACTCACTAACATGGAAATGGAACCCCCCTGTTGGTAGAGGAAAGTAGTCTTCCATGGGAACCTTTCATCCACTTCCATGTTTGTGAGTCAATACGGGTGAAGAACCTCAAAATGGTTTTACACGAGGTGATGGACACTTCTTCCGACGGCATGAAATTGGACGCCACAACGCCACTTGAAGGTCGCCAGTGCTGTTGGCGATTCACGACCGAAACCGAATCAAATCCCTGAACCATCGATGAAAAAAGAATGCGAAGAACACGAAACAACCCCAAGTTAGGCCAGCCCTTTGGTCACCACAAAAGCCCTGATGAAGAAAATCATCTATTATATTGTACTACTAATTGGGCAGTCTATTATGGATGGTTGAAGCATGTGGAAGCCAACCTACCATGTTTGGGTGAGGATATGGTATCCCGGAGAAATGGATTACAATGACTACAATTACAAACATATTCCAGGCCACGACACGCCATGATGTTGAATGTCGATATGTTGATCAATACAACTCCCCTAGAATGGTTTTACATCTCCATATGGGGGGCTTTACGTGGGTGAACATGATTACTTCACCGACTGTCAATGTCCAAGCCCCTGAGAATCGAAACCATTATATAATTCATCGACCGAGGATGTTCTCGTGCTTGATGGCCGTGAGCTCGCAGGTTCTATTGCTAAAGTCCTACATGTGCTTAGTTTGTCCGTGTTGACTTGAGAACTCCTCTCCCACAGGGACACAGGGACGCTCTAAATCTAGCGACCCATGGCAATTCAAAAATACATCAGAAGGCTCTCTCCGGTCCTGCTGCACAGGAGAGGGACATGGGGGTATCAGCACAGGTCCGGCCGATGGTCCACATGGTGCTTGAACACTTTTGCTGTGGTAAAGTTCAAAGATTTCATGGCACAATTACCTACATAGACAATGAATAGAGGCGGCCTGTAGACAGAGAGAGAAAAAACACTGCAAGTAACAAACATTCCGAGGGGCTCCAAGGCGTGTCTGCATGTGGCGACTGCTCACAATTCACTTATTTGGAAGGTGGGCGACATCTCGGACCGTTCCGTCACTCCGTTCGGCATTCGATGCGCAAAGTCTTCGTGTGCGTAAATCACATCGCAGGTCCCCAAAAGAACCGCAGCCGGCCCCGCTCCGTGCGGAAGGGAATGTATCTGGTCACACTTAGTCATCACTAAGGGGCCATGTTTTTTGGTTGGACCATCCATGCCACGACTGAGAGCGATATGCTGCAAGTGCAGCTGTTCTCTTTGTTTCAGTCATTTATGGTATAAGTCATATAGAATATAGAATATATTATAACTAACATTTGATGCGCCCCGAAGGCTTCATTTCTAAAATGGGTTTGATAGATCCCTTTTCAGGCTTTGCAATGGTAGAACTTGCCCAAACGGTTGTGATTTAAAGTGGACTTCAGAGACAACTCCCACGTCGCAAAACCCTAAACCCTATACCATCATAAGGGGATCCCAACCCCAACCGCGAGTGGAATGGAAGGGGCTTTCCCAATCATCGTCTGTGGGTCAAAACCAGGACACCGAACGCATTGACCGTCCCCATATATTAGTGACCCTCCTTATGGACTGGTCGGGCTCCACGTGTTTGACCCCGTCCCCATATATTCCCCCCTCGGCTCAAGCCCTAAGTTCCATTGCCTTTGCCGACAATAGTCTTTGGATGTCTTATGAGATTTAGCACCATGACCTATAATTCCATCGGTTTGGGGCCGGCCAATTCGTTGCTCATGTGCCTCATTGTGCCTCTTCATGGCCCCAGGCACTCTGAGCCAACTTCCCTGTCACAGTTTGATGGGTTGCCAGGATGGATATGAATACGTTTGTCATTACGGCAAACCAATAGTTTTAGCAACACATCTCTGCTCTGCTTTTGTTGCCAGAAATCACAATGGTTTCAACCTATCAAATAGTTTTTCCGTGTTTCCTTAGGTGTTCTCCCTGGCTAGTTGCAAACACTTGTGTTGCTTCTTGCCAAAAGAGTGATCAAGATCTGTTTTCCCCACGCACGCCCTGTACAGGTCATAGCACCTTGATACTCACCTTGATACATAATTAATGTTCGTATCAATCCCAACGAACGTCAATACCACCCAACCCCAACCCCCAGGCCGAAGTAAGGGTTGCAAGAAGACATGAATCTTAAAACATGAACGTGTGTGAAAACAAAGTATCTCTCACACTTCACAGAACAAAACGCCCAGCAACCTCTCAAACCCTCTGCCGTGAACAGTCACTGCTACCCTTAGCAAAAGAAAATCCCCGACCGCCCAGCCTCTCCCCTCACTCGATCACAGATCGGCCAGGGAAACGGCCAGAAAATACGGCAAGAATTGTGCAAAACGCACACGTTTCGGTTAAGCTATGTCTCCAAGCAAAGTAATTCCCTTGGTGGGAGCAAATCATTACTAAAACGATTGTAACGTGATGTAAAGTGTAAACACTTACAGTAATTATACATGTTTGTTTGACAGCCTCCTCTGGTGTGGTTGTTGTGTGTTTTAATCCTCCTTGGGCTGCTCATGGCCAACATTGCTCAACCGCTGTCTGTGCATGCTGTGAGCATCAGGCCCGGCTGCAACGTTCAGACATAGACTGAGAACAGAAGGTCCGTCTAAGCGCCACTGGCATCGCTATGCACCGCTGCGGCCGGACAGGTTGTCAACATGATTTCAACGGTATCCGTGGTTGCCTCGGTATGTTTCAACACGGGATGGTGAGAGAGTATAACAAGACGTTGTTGGGAGGCGGTCTAAACCACCGTTGATTGGATCAGGTGAGTGAAAAGGGCGTCTGTTGTGTCGTTTGTTCTTTTCCACTCCACATGAACAGACTATCATACGAGATGTTCCGGTGTTTCAAAATGTGTCATAGTCGGACATGGATGATGATCCTTTCCAAATCCACACCTCAACTTGAGTTTTCACTGTTTGAATACTGATCGATTCCATGCCACGGAGGATGAAAGCGCCCCGCATTCTTCGCTCTTCACTCCATTGGGTTTCGGTGGGGGAAAATAATCCAACAAATGGAGGGTTTTAGTTGGATTGTAAATGCACCTCACAAGAGTTTGTTACATCCAATTTAGCTAGTACAAACTGTAAATGCAGCTTCTAGTTACAGTACTAGCTTCTTTCGTGTTACTAGTAGCGATGGCCTCCACCGTACGTAGCTTCGGTCGTTACTAGAAAGCTGTTGAAAACACAAGTACATGTAGATAGACTCTTGATGAAGTACTTTTACAACCCATGTCGGGAGGGTTATGAATCAAGTGAGTAACTATCTGTTCAACTTGTCTTCAAATATGCTCATATATTTGTGCATGCTTTGCTAGTTATCTGCCCGTTGCTAGTTACACTCCGAACCATCAGTCCTCTAACTTCATCTGAATCGTGCAGCTGGGCAAAAGAGGTAATTAATAATCAGACATTGGAAACCTGCCTCAGGTTAAAGCCGTTTTGAGGCACCAACCGTCTGTTAAGGGAGCCTGGCTCTGCACGGGTCTCCTAACCTGGAGGATGGCGGAACTCAATTCAGGCTCATGATCCTGGTTGGACACCTCGCAAGAACCTAGCTTTGGCAAGTGGTGGGGTTTGAGCGCTTCGCGCTCTGGAACAGCTCGCATCTTGCGAGCCAAACAGGGGTGTTTCTCCAACACAAGCTCACTGAACTTCCAGGCCCAGATTTGTGGGGACAGTTCCTCTTAGGGAAGCAAAAGCAAAAAGCAGTCGCTTCGAAGCGGCCGGAACTGTGGAAATCAGTCCAGGTTCACGTCGATCAATTCGTTCTCGATCAGCTCCTCCGAAGCAGAGATAGGTACATGATTTTCTGACACCATGTGGTGCAACTCGGAAGGGCTTGCGCTGGCCGAACAAAAATGCCCATCAGCAAAACTTCTGTGTGATCATGATTTCTACTAACCCTGAGCTGTGTATACATCCTGGAGATTCCTTCTGGAAAATGGTTGTGGACTTCGTTACGAACGCCTGTGGATCTCTCAGAACGCAGACTTTCTAGTGCAAACTCCTTTTCAGGCCTGATCCTCCTTTCAGGATACGTTTTACACATCTGGGTGCTTGGGAAATCGATCACAGAACGCCGCAAATCTGAAAAAGTCGAGCAGTATTTTCCAGATGATGAATCCAACTGGCGGAGTGGGTCCCCTGTTCTTTTTTCCCTACATCGATGAATACCACTGCAACCACTCCACGTGGAAGGTCGGAGTCTTGAGTCTTGCACTTTCTAGTGCAGTCACACTCAGATCCCATCCGAGTGCAACGTCCGATCCTTCACGATCTCAGCAATGTGTCGTTTCTCCGCCACGGCTTTGTCCACCTTCAGAACCAACGCTGGTGGGGCAGCGAGAGATGGGGCCAGGTGGGGGCGGCAAGTAAGGTCCACTCTCAGGTGACATGCACCAAAAAGAACACTCACAGGATGTCTGACCGAATCAGCTTCCATGAAAAATACAGGTCAACCTCCTTCGTTCTTGCCTAGAGGGAAACAATCCCCAAACAGGTTATATAAAGGCAATCCACTTTTCCTGGGTAGGCTGTTCCGGCATGCTGGACGTGTTGTGTGGAGAGGCACCGTAGGCACCATGGAATTTGTGCAACGAAGTTCTTTCAGGTTCCGCGCTTCCTGGGAGTTGGACATATGAACATCTGATATGGGTTATCTTAGAAGGACCCCCGCTCAAGCCCCTCAGGATAAACTAATATAATGTAATACAAAAAATATACTTATATATATATATATTTAAGACTTGATCCCATGTTCAATTTTGCTTGCGCCCACCAACCGCGGCTCGGTAGTCTTCCCTACAGGTCCAGGCTGACCAAACCTGGTCCAGTCCTCATGTAATAGTAACGGATGTTTTTGGAGCGAGCACGTCCAGTAAAATGAGGACGTTCACGGCTACCCATGCACCCTTCAGACGGCTCCTCTTGCTCTTGGTACCCCCAAAAAGAGTCCGCTTTCGGCCGCCCAGAAGTTCTTTGGAAAGCCCAGGTGCCCAGCAGGGATCCTGTTCCACCTTCAGGCCAAAGCGATGGATCCGCCCCAGGTGCTTGTCATGCATCCGACCTGCCGTCGCGTCGCGCATCGGGCCGTGCATCGGGCGCGACGCGCCCAAGACCTTTTACAAGAGGGGGTGGAACTCAGAAGGAAGTGAGTTGATCGACCTTTTACATGAGTGAATTGTGATTTCAGTGTCCTCACCGTTTGTCGGACATCGGGAGCATATTGACTCCTTGGACATCGACTCCTATGAACACCGCACGCGTTGCACACCCTCCGAACATGACGTTAAAATAAAGTGCGGATGTAACGCATCAAACATACATCATAACACAAAAAACAGTAACTTAACCTTAACAGGTCTGATGTGCGGTAAATATAACACAACAAAACATAACAAAACCAACTCCACCACCCAGTTCGGACTCTGATATGCAATTTTGCATGGACCTCTGACTCTGCCCAGCGACGTCCAGGAGGAAAGCTCACCGCCACTCCTCGAGGTGTTGGAGGAAGACCATCGCGCTCCCATGAATTTGTAGCACTCATCAGCTGGTTGTACCTTGGAAAGAAAAGCCCACAAACCAGCCCGAAAGCTGAAGAGACCAAAGGAAACATCTCCAGGTCTGTAACGGACGGCAACGACGGTCTTGCACTGTCGACTTTCATTTTCGCCCAAGACGGCCCAACGGCAAAGGCATCGCTCGACAAAGACCACACGCCTAAAATCGGGGTGAGATCGACAAACACACACGCTCCATTCAATATCATGCGATGACTGGACAAATGATCTATTAAAGAAATAAGGCAAGAATTGCTGGTGTTTGGACCCCCAGATATGAGAATGCTTTCCTTGGCTTTCATTGCCATTTCATGCGGAGAACATCAAAGGGAATTGGGAAGCTGTTGAAGTGGCTACCCGGCCTGACTTGGTTGTGTCAGGCACCTTGACATGGGCGAAGTTTTTCGCCCATGTTAGTCATTGTTAGTCAACTGTTAGTCTGCGGGGGGTAATATAGCTTGTGAACTCGCATGTGGGTTGCTTTTCTTCCCCAAAGAAAGGAACATAGTTTTCGTTCCGTATACCGAGCAGCTCATCCAAGTCCACCAAATCATCTCCATGAATGATTCCCGGAAGCGGTGGCACTGGGCTCGCAAACGTGGGGCTGAGCGGAATGGATGCCTGGAGGCGGCCGAGGCGGATTCTTCTGGGACCATTCATCCATCAATGCCAATGTGCATCCCACCAACCAATGCCTGGCCCTGCGCCCTCGCTACCTCCCTACAAACTCGGTCTGATGGAGGTGAGAACACGTTCAAGAGGTTGAAACCTCTCCAAATCGAATGGGTGTGTATTTGAATAGGGAGACTCGAAACCAATCGCTTTTGGTCTATATCTTTCTTCCAGGGGTCGAACTGTAGGCCTCATTGATGCACAGTTGCTCAATCCGAGTCCCGTGTCGGTCGATGGCATCATCTGTCGATACATGAGTCTCTTATCTTGAGGATTGTTGAGGTGTCTTCTAGCAAGCACTTGTTTGTTGTTACTAGTAGCGATGCACTTGTTACTGGTAGCAACCTGGCCCCCCAGCTTGGCCAGCTGCTGTGGATTTCGAGTCCGTTGGCTCAGGAGATCGAGGGCAGGAGAGGCCTCATCGCAAGCGAGGCGACCTATTCTTGACCCAAGAAGCATCTGAAAGCACCCGAAACCCTCACTATCCCTCACCCACACCATCCATTGTATGGAACAATGTTGCAATCGTTTCACAATCAACCTCTCCCCCAGCAAACGATGGACGAGGTCTGAATAGATGAGTTCCCTCCTATTCATCCTCGTTGTGGTGGTAGTATATATATACCTTGACTCTCGAGTGATCCTTTATTTTTAGGGTTATTCAAAAGAATGGCATTCTTGTCAGAAAGAACTTTTCTTGAGAAAGCGTACCTTTTTTTGATTTTTGGCAATCTGAACCTCTAGGACAGTAAACGGTCAACTCAGAGACGCCAAAAGCCCCTCAGTTCTTGGATCAACCAGGGTGAGGTGTGTATAGGCTTGGCCGACCTTGATGGACGAGAAGGCCAGACCCAGCCCTGCCTATTGGAGTGTGCTGTGTGCTCATGTGAGTGGAAAGAGTCGAAATGTTTCAATGCACTGAAACAAATGGCACACAAGAAGCTCTTGGCCCAAACAACATTCCAGCTTAGCACCTGCTGCTAGAAGTGTGGTGCCATGAATGCCTTTCTTGAAAACCACCGCGACCTCAAACTTGAGATGGAGTCCCGAGGTGTGTGAACTTTGATTGAGCTTCCTGTGTTTGTTGATTCTTTTGTTGGACATGTCTTATCGGTGTTGGATCTTGAAAGGCCTGCTCGATCTGCCTGACACCTTCTGGACTGAGATTTTGAAGGTGATTCACGCATCACCAAAGGTTGCTTGAAAGTTAATGAGACACATCTTTGTGGGAAACCTTGTATTCTAACCTTGTATTCTAACCACAGACCATCCCATCCCCATGTGGCCATTTCAAAACTAAGGATGTGGAGTTGGGTGAGGTAAGCTTTAAGTCGTTGCTTAAGAACTATGATGACGGTGGTCTGGTGGCGAATTGCGTGAAGCGACACCGCTCAGGAGTTGACTGACTTGGTTTCTCCAATGGGTTTATCTCAAACAAATTGAACACATGTTTCAGGTGTTTAAAGGATTGAACTTTTGGGGACCAAACCTTGGGGTGTGTCAGGAGATGACTACAATGTGCCTCAGCCGCTTTAGGGAATGAAGCACCCCTTGTGCTTCATGATGCAACTTTTCTCACTTTGCTCTGGCAGGCGAGCAGCGCAGAGTCGCAAGAGTGAACGCATGAGCCAAGACTTGCACGGTCCTCCGAACCTCTGATGTACAACAGTGTGACAGTTTGAACAGAAGTGAAACAAATCTTCAAGAGCAAAAGGCAAATTGCTGAATTCGCACTGCCGCATAGGGTTATGGTGGGAAGAAACAACTCAAACATGCTGAGTGAAGAACCTGATGCCTTTCACCACGCAGGTTGGTGGTCCGTGCAAATGGCTCGAGACTCGGTGCGGTCTTCTCCCAACCTCAAAGGCTGTGAACCTGTTAGGTCTCAGAATGCTGCTCACTTGTGACAGTTCATGTCCAAGCTTTGCCTGTGTCAAAAAGCAATTGGCTTACATCTTAAGTTAGTTAGAGCTCCTCTCATCTGAGACACGATGGCCATCAGACTCCAGGGTCTTGCGGCGACCTGGGAAAGCGATGAGGTTGTTCGCCGACTTGTCAGGGATAAGCAATCGCTGGTGGTGTGGCCTAGCCCAGAAACCGTGGGAGTTCCATCCATGAACCTGGTCTCAACATGGTTCAATACTTGTGAAAGTTCTCCCAAATACACATGAACGGTGTGCACGTGGCTCTGTTATTTGAAGTTCCTACTTGAAAACCTCCACCGTTCTAAGGCAAGCGGTAAAGCTCAACGTTCGTGTCCTTGAACACTTGGCCAGAGCTTGGGTTGAGATCTTTGACTTTGAAAGTGCTGGAACCCCCAGAACTCCACCTCTTGGCAGTCTGTCTATTGAGGCCAGGCATGGTAAAGAATTGTGTGGTGAGTTATGTGTTGCTTTCACACACTGTTTACTTCCTCTATATGCACTTGGTGAAGGTCAAAGCGTTTTGGAGCCTGATGTCACCTACGGATATGCCTGGAAAAATATCCAGGCATGCGTCTGCATGGGGTCTTCGGAAATTGATGAGCCATGTTCTTCGGGCTCTACGCTTGGCACGTGCACCCAGGGAACTTTATCTGCAATAAGCATGTTTGTAAAACTTACTTGAAGTGCACAACTAACATTGGACACAATGGGGCTCCCAAAGCTAGCAAACAGCTGGAAACAGCAAAACATGATGCCACTATGGATGTGTGATTGTAGGATCCCGAGATCAAGAACCTTATGCAAATCTTCTATGATGCCTGGTATGCCGGTAGGGCTGCTCCTGGTGATGAAAATGAGGCAAGTTTATTTGGGTTGTTGCTTCTTTGTTTGCTTACCTTTTGGATGCTCTGCATGTTTTTGCCTGTGTTATGTCAGTGCTCTTGGTGATATTTCCAAAGTTTTGTTTTGGGAGGAATTGGTCGTCAATGGTATGGATGGGATGGATGATCAGGAGGACTCCATGCTTTTGGATTCCTTGGAGGACCAGGTCCCTCCACCGTTGGAACCTTTGGTCATGGAACCTCCTGCCAACGATGGTGCTGAAAGGGACTTCGACTCTCAAGTTCTGGAGGCTCCTGTTGAGGAAAGCTGGTCTAGTCCAAATGATCCAGCAAATTTTGATACTTTGCCTTTCAACATCGGTCAAGCTGTCTGCGAATGGCCTGTTGAGGATTCTCAGGTGTACTCACCGTCTCCTGTGCGAGAGGAACTGGCCACACCCGAAGAGGCTGCCAGGTCTCAAGATCGGCTTCCAGATCAGCTTGACCAGCGGATTATATTTTTGCAGTGCTTAGGCTGCAATTTCTGGTGTTTGATCTTGCAAAGTCCAACCTGCTTATGTTCCCTTACGACCTGTTTGGGACACCAATTCATTATAATAAAACTAAGGCAGCAGTTAGAAGCCTGCAGCAAAAGCTCCAGCCAGGTTCTCTTGCAGCGTTATGCTTGAATGTGTTTACTTTTCTTTGCTGCTTCCTCCCATGCAATGCAAAGGTTTCAATTTGTTGCTCCTGAGTTCTTAAATGTTGGAACTTAAGGCTGATTCTTCGCAAGCCTTGAAGCAGTCCTTTGAGAAGACCATGATGGAGATTGATTTGACCTGTGATGAGGACATGGGTCCTTTATGATGAACTGACAAGTGAACAATTTGTTTGCGCAGGACCTGCTCAACAAAAGCACTGAGGCTGAGTCTGCTGTCCTGGACATGGGTTCTGTTGATGGCAGCCGGCGTGAAGTCGCTGGAGGTGAGCTGGTGTCCCATCATGCCCGAGCCGCTGTCGAAAGTCAGGAAAGTGCAGAGCTCGCCAAGTTACAGGATGGGCCCTTGCCTTCTCACGCGCAGACTGAAGTCATTCAGGAGGAGGATGGGTTCATGGAGACTGACGCCATTGAGGAGGAGGATGGGTTCATGGAGGCTGAAGCCATTGTGGAGGAGGATGAGCTCATGAAGACTGAACCCATTCCGGAAGTCTCCGAGCCTGTCCTGAGACGAGTGGACCAGATGAAAGCTCAAAGTGAAATCAAGCCAGGGAAGGGCAAAGGGCGGGGCAGGAAAAGGGCTTGTCAGGGCCCTTTGGATGATCCAGCTGAAGAGGACTTGGAGGTGCCCAAGTCCGAGAGCAAGACTCCTCCCAAGGGCAATTCCAAGGCCAAGGCCAAAGCTCAGAGTGCTAAGAAGGCACCAAAGCTCAAGAGCTCTCGAGCTCGAAAGTCGACTGATGAGGCTGATGAGCCTGAATCTGAAGCTAAAGATTCCAAGAGGAAAGGTCGCAAGCCAGCCCAGAAGAAGGCTGCGGCTGAGGCAAAGCCCAAACCTGCCCCGAAGAGGAAGGGCAAAGATGCATCGGAG